TAGACCATGAATTGATTTTGAGGAAACATATTCTCCCGTAATGAACACCATCACTTTTAGTTTCTTAATTAGTTTGACCGTGTCACAAATGCTCGATTTGGACATTCTACATGTAGTGACTGCATATTTGTATGGTTCACTTTATAGCGACATATGTATGAAAGTCTATGAAGGACTTAAAGTTTGAGAAACAAATTATACATGTCCGAGAACAACGTTCTCAATTAAATTGTAAAGATCATTATATGGATTGAAACAATCACGACTCATGTTCTATAATTGCCTCGGCGAATATTTGTTGAACCAAAGCTATAAAAATGACAATATTTGCCCATATATTAAAGAAAGAAAATATTTGATTTGCAATTGCGGCATTTTATGTTGATTATTTAAGTTTAATTAGAACTTCTGAAGAGTTCAACAAAACTACAAATTATTTGAAAAATGAATTTTAGATGAAAAATTTGGGAAAACTAAAATTCTATCTCGGGTGCAGATTGAACATTTCTCAGAATGATTATTTTTTTTCATCAATCTACATATACAGAAAAAGTCTTAAAACACTTTTATATTAATAATACACATCCATTAGCATCACCTATAGTTGTTCAATCACTTGATGTGAAGAAAGATAATTTACGTCCATTTGAAAATGGAGAAAATGTTCTTGGTCCTGAAGTACAATATCATAGTGCAATTTGAGCATTAACTTATCTTACAAACTATACTCGACTAGACATAACTTTTTTCTATAAATCTTTTTGCAAGATATAACTCTACACCAATACAAAGAAATTGGAATGATGTTAAACATATTTTTCGTTATCTAAAAGATACTATTGATTTAAGATTATTTTATTCTCAAAAGTTGAGATCTATTTTAGTAGGATATGCAGATGGAGGTTGTCTCTCTGACCCACGTAAAGTTAAATCACAAACATGATATGTGTTTACACGAGGAGAAATAACTATATCATGAAGATCTGTAAAGTAATCCTTAACAATAACATCCTTAAATAATTCTAAAATTATTGCAATCCATGAAACAAGCCGAGAATGTGCATGGTTGAAGAACATAACCAATTATATCCAAACATCATGCGAATTAACTTCAATAAAATATAGTCCAATAATTTTGTATGAAAACAATTATGTTTGTACTGCACTATCAAATGAGTTTATATCAAAAGTGACATGACGAATCATATTTCTCCAAAATTCTTTCATACAAAAGAATTTCAGAAGAATGGCGATATTGATATTCAACAAATTTCCAAAAGTGACAATGTGGCTTATTTATTTACAAAAGCACTGTCAACGTTTACATTCAAGAAATTAGGTCACAAGAGTAGAATCTATTGACTAAAAGATTTTTAATGATCAACATTAGGGGAAATAACTATACTATTTTTCCCTCGTTTAGGTTTCATCCTACTGGTTTTTTTCGAGCAACGTTTTAATGAGATAATATTTATCTTTAATACTCCAAAATAATTGTACTATTTTTCCTTTGTTTGATTTTTTTTTTCCATTGGATTTTTATCAAATAAGGTTTTAACAAGTCAGATATTTTGTAATGTGGCATTCAATGGAGAGTGCTATAAATGTTAAGTTTATTAATGAATAATAATTGTACCCCTACACCTCTAGAAATTATTACAATTGTATCCATAATCCTGCCCTATAAATATATTACTTTGGTTCTCATTATAATATATACAAGTAAGAATATCAAAATGGCTCTTCAGCTCGGGTTGCCTGTGGCTCGTCTCGAAATCAATCTGAGCCGAAGGTCAGGCCAAGCCCGAGGGATAGGCACGTATCAATGGCCATTTCGGCCCGGACAGGCCGGTAAACAGATGCCTTCAAACGTTTTAGGCAGACAGCTGCCTGAAACGTTTGCAGGAAGCTGTACAAAAAAAAAAAAAAAAAGAGTCGGCTCGGTTTGGGTACGACATGTCCCGCTAAGGCCCCGAGCTAAAACTCGGGCCTAACCTCAATTTTTTGGTCGAGCTTTTAATCGACTCAGGCCAAAAAAGGCCTAAACCAATTTTGCTCGAGACGAGCCCGAGTTTCGAGTTTTGGCTCGTGGCTCTACTCGTTGACACCCCTATATACAAGTCTATTAACTTTTATTCTCTTTTCTCTTTTTATCTCTTTTTACAACACTAAAAAAAATTATTCAAATATATTCAAAAGTAGTTATTTAATTTTAGAAACAACTTTTAAAGTCATGTAAACTAGGGCTGCACAAAAAAATCGCGAAACCACAAATCGAACCGAAATCGTTGGTTTGGGTTCACGTGGACCCATGGTTTTTTCCCTCAAATCGAACCAAACCGTTTCAAAATGGTTTTGTTTCAGTTTCAATTTTCAAAAACTGCATAAAGTCAAACCGAACCATTTTTTAAATTTTTAATTAAAAAATTAATTTTATTAACTTACAAATTTAAAGTTTTTACTTTTTAGAAAAAAAAAATACCAATTTAGGAATATAAATTACAACCAACCCATTAAAATAATCCTATANAATATCAATTTAACAATACAAATTACAACCTGCACATTGAAATAATCATATAAAGTAAAGTAAGTTCATCATTATTGGTCGATGGTTTTATAAGTCTACAACACACGTCCTAACCCGATATCTAATCTAAACTAAAATTAATCCCAAATCATATCAAATAAAAAAAAAATATTATTTTCAACAATCCAAATCATATTTCAACAAAACTACGCCAACAAATCACGCCCACAACTTTAGAAGCCCTAATCTAAACCCTTTTTATCAAACATTTGAAACTTGTCTGCCACTATTTTACAAAACAAGATTTCCAATCGCAAATCGCTAGTCGTATTTTGCTTGATAGTTTGCTACTTTCTACCCGAATCACCTATTTCTCTCTTCTCTCTTGATAAGTCTTAGATTCTTATTCAAGTCATTTTTTTCATTCTTCTTTCTTTCATTTGTTGTTTTTAAACTTATTATACACTTGAGAGTTGTAATTTAGATTAAAAAAAAAAAAAAGAATGTTTATGTGCATAAGTGATTATCGTTAGAGAATAAAATTTGTCAATTTTCAATAAACCTGAACTTTATCATTCTTTGTGCATTTAAACATATTTTGTTAAGTCCTTATTTCCACCTCACTTGTAGGATAAAAGAAATTTTAACCAAAC